CCCCCGTGGCAAATGATTTCTCCCATTGACAAGCCCATTAAGGCCAGGAATCATGTGTTTCATTGTACTCGATTGTACTTCATTGACCTTGTGACATAGTTGCTGACGTGAATGGATTTTGTCCAGCCAATCGCGGAAACTCTTCGAGAGGCCGGTCTTGCCGGTTTTGCGGGTCTTGCCCGTGCCAGGGTGTCTTGCAGCTGATTGACAAGATGACTGGAGTGCAGGGAGAAGTTTTCCACACACCGACGATTCTTCTCAGCGGAGCTGTGAGTGGAGAGGAGGAGGCGGAAGGGACGCTGAGTCATGGAGAATGTTCGAAGCAAGGATCCCACTCAAACTCAGACCGAAGGTCACCGAAGGTCACCGAAGGTCTGAGCTCTTGTTTTGGAAAGCTTCGGATGGCGTCAGGTGCCCGATGGCGTCCTCGGTGTTCTGGTCCGAAGTGCCAAGGACGGCGCGGAACGGATCGGCCGCGCGCGGAACCGAAGGACGCCATGACAGGAGTTCAGCTGGACGGATCCAGACTGAAACTGGTAGATGAAAGATGATGCAAAGGGTCTCGTGGTGAGTTGGACTTGTTTCGTTGGACCTAAGCCTTTGAACTTGGATATATGTGGATTTATGTGGATTTTTCTCCGTGGCATTAGTTGCACTGGGCACTTCCCACCAGGAAGCACCGGATATTTTATCCCATTGCGCCGTCCGCGCGCGGAACTTTGGAGTCTTGCTTTGCACCTGCGCCTCATCTGAACTTCAGAGATTTGCGGAACATGATCAAATCAAGTAACACATGCAATGTAAGACACACCATTGCAGTTGCCCAAGTTTGATTGTAGTTTAGCTGAGGTTTTGACCCCAAGATTTCGGAAAAGCTTGCAGCAGACTTTGCCAACAAATGGGTTGAAGTCAGGCGTGTTTCCTTTCATTTCCCACCATAGTCTTTTTCGTATCCGGCCCCTGGCCACGGCCACCGGCCACAGGCCACAGGCCACGGGGCCAGCAGCCACTGCCACCGTCCACCGGCCACCGGCCATGCACGGCCGCCAGCCATCACGGCGGCCACCACCACCGCAGCTACTATCAACCAGCCACAGCCAGCGGCCATTTCTCACCCACCGGGGTTGGCCTTTCCACAGTGTGTAGAACAGTACGAATTGGGAGCTGCACCTGTGGTTTGAACCATCCACAATGCCCAGGACATATATGGCTCCACCGACAGGGCATTTGCACGCAGCAGAGGTGAATAGAACCTATTATGTGTTGGCCTATGTGCCAGACACTGCATTGCTAGAGTTGAGCTTCGTTGCCACAGATAGAGCAAGTGTTCCGCCTAGCGGGGGTTACAAGCGCGGATATGCTTCCCAAAGCTCTTATTACAGCAGTCTTTGTGAACATCTTGCGGTGGATGCACGGGCAGCTTGGCGCAGACGCGGCTGTGCTGGCTGACTGGCTGTCTCGCAGGGCGGAAGACGCGCTGCTGTCTCGAATAACACGTCCACCTCCACATGGCTGTTCATGGCTGTTCACAACTTGGTCTATTGTACTTCTTGCTTGCGTTTTCAAGCACCACTCCAGACCGAAAAGTCACAACGTGTACTACTCCCATGAAGGTTGCAGTTGCAGTGTTGGAGCCTAACTCCCATACCCGCTATATGTGTCCTTCCTTGAGGGGCCATTGACCGTCAGTCTTGACGTGGGTCGAATCGGCTGCAGGACTGGAGCGAGGTTGCCCATCACAACGGGCGTGAGTCTGGCGAAGTATATTGAACTCAAGATCCAGGAATGATTGAAGACGCAATGGAACTCATCACTGCTGAATCGCTATCCCAACGCTATGCCTTCATGGTGCAGCCTGCGTCTCGAACGCCCTTCTTGACTACTGTGGTTCACGATGACGCCTGTCACCTCAAACTCTTCGGCAACCAGCGCAAGCGTGCCACAGATATTGCGCAACGCTTGGGGGACATGACGTTTAACGTATATTGTACGTGACTGGCCACAAGGGTGAGTTTTGCCGAGACCATTGCCTACCCACCTCGGCCGATAATGAGCGCCTTCTGGACAAGTTCCCTACGGATATTTGCGAGTCTGTCAACTCACACAGTTTAGTCACTGGGCATACCATGCATCACATGGGCAAGTTTCTTTCTCAGCTCTTTGTCCAAGAGTGCGCCGATGTGCGCAACCTGGCTCCTCTGCTCAGCCAACCGTGCGGCCGTGCGGCTGCCAGGGGGCGCAGGGATAGCGTGGGCTCTGGACATGGTTTCTGGAGATGCGTAGTGTCAGTGTATCTGGGCTTGGCAAACTTCTCAGCAAATACCTTCACGACACTGGATGGGTTTACCCCTACTTTTGCTGATTGTGCCAACCATTGTTCTCTTCATCACTGTCGCTGCAGGTAAGAGCCTTGGCCTCCAGGAGGCCAGACTTGAATCAGCTCCGAGTTGGAAAGAATGGGGGGCTTATTGCTTCTTCCTCACCTGACAGTGGCGGTGCATAGACAGATGCTAATTCTGCCACATAGATTCCAATACAATACTGTTGTGAAGTCTGTCGAGCGTTTCATCTGGTCTAAAAATTCAACGAATCGTAGGCCGCTAGCTTCTCCCCACTAGCTACAGCCGCGCGTGTGCGCCGCCGGCCACCGGGCACGGCGCGGCCAACGGCCACCGGTCACGGGCCCTTGCCGCGCCACTCAGCACCGGCCACGGCCGGCCACGGGCCGCCGGCCACGTACACCACCCAGCACCGGCCACGGCCGCGGCCACCTCTCCTTATTTCCGGTATATCCTTTGCAAAGATGAAAGCGATAGTGGCTAGTGAATGGGTGTGTTCAGACATGTTTTGTTTTCTCTCGTCGTCCTTTCTGTCTCCTTGCTTGTAGTGTAAAACCCAGCAGATCCTCAACAATGAGGAGACTTAGACGTTGGTAACCTCATTGATTAGTCTTTTGCCGGACTAATGCTGTTCCCTGAAACTGCTGGAGGTGTAAAGCAGATGGGTCTTTGGTGGTGGCCGCTTGTGAGAAGCCGGCCACGTTCGAGGCCACACAAGCGGCGGCTGAGGCTGAGCAGGCCAAGGTGGGGTGAGACATCAGAAGTCACGGATGGCAGCTTTGACAAGCCCAGACACTTGAGATGGTTATGGTTTTGTGGTGAAACTGATTGACACCGTATGGTGGTGTCTCGAAGAAGAAACTGGGGAATTGCGATTCAGCAAGCAAGTGGGAATATATGGGAATAACGTGGAATAATTTCTTTGATTGTAACTTTGCATTGAGATCCTGCTGTGGCCAGACTTCCCAGGCTGCAAAAGCAAAAGTAAAGATGAACCTCACTAATGACTTCCGCTGCTCATGGCTCCCTGTCAAGCACCTAAAGGTAGGCGCAAAGTGGTGACCAAAATAGAACGAACAGGCATACCACCTGGGCATTGGGACCTTCAGGAAGTCCGAGGGCTTAGGGTCATTTGGCTCCTGAACGTTGCTGCCAGCGCGTCTTTGGATTTGGTCTAGTAGTTCAACCTTCGTAGCATCGAGTGAGGGAGCAGTGCCTGAACCTGAACCGAAAGTGTTTCAATTTCAATGCAACGCAACTGACCCGTTTCCCTGTGTCAGACAAAGAACGCCCACGATGAGGTGTGTCCGCCCAGATGAGATGAACAGGACAGATTTGACAGAATTGTG